GGGGGGCTGGATTAGTAATGTCATCAATAATATCTTGTACATCTATTTTATTTGATTATTATTTGGGTATTATTTTTTTTTTGTAATTCTTTCTTTAGGAAGTTTGCCCTTATATAAGTTTTCGAGAGATTGATCTGTTGATTAATCTCTGTACCTTCTATTTTTTTTTTTTGTTTGTGATCTTGTTACTAATAATTCTTTTGTTCTCTTTTTTTTTGAAAACACAAAAGAAAAAATGATAGTTTCGTTAAAGCATAGTATTAAGCTTGCTATCACTCGAAGTAGGGTTTCAATAGGTAGCTATTGATGGGAGTGGTTACTACCTTTCCATCTATGATACATAATTTAAAGACATTGTCATGTAGGATTTCATGGATATAAAAGGGTCCTTTCTATTTTGAGTTGAATTTAACACTTAAGAAATATTCTTGTAACACTTGATATACTAACACTTTATCTTCAATCTTTAGGTCTAGTCTGTTTTTAATCTTTCAGTCATAGTATTGTTTTTGCCTAATTTGGGCTAGTTGAACTCATATGATAGCCACATTATAGATTTAAGGTAAGTACTCCAATAGTTCAAATGTATGTTCGATAATTGTAGTATCTAACTCATCATTACCCTTAGGTTCTATCAGTTGTCTAGCTTCTCGTCTATGCATAAGATAAAATAGTGTTATTCTGATTATTGAATAGTGATTTGTTTGATAGGCAAACAATATTGGTAAAATTACTGTATTCCAGTCTAAGATATTTTTTATTGATTTTGTAATTGACTCATATAATGTCTTATTAAATTACTCAACAAGTCCATTCATCTGCAGGTGGTAAGGTATAGATAAAATGTATTTGATCTGAAATTTCTCTAACAGGTTTCTTACTAACTAGTTTTGAAAGTAAATATCTCGATCTGATAAAATTCTTTCTAGGCATCTGTGATAATAAATTATGTTTTGATACAAGAAATTGGCAACTTTTTGTGCATTCATCATATTAAGGGCCTTAGCTTCTGACTACTTCATTATGTAGTCAGTTGTCATGATGATATACCTATTACCTCTTGGAGTTATAGGTAATAGTCTTATAATATCAATTCTAATTTAGTAAAATAGAGCAATAACTGGTATTAGATTTAAAAGGGCATTCACTTTATTTTTCTTCCTTCTCTGATATAAGTCACAGAACTTCATATATTCTTGAATCTATTCGAATACCTGAAGCCAATAGTAGATCTTTTAAATCTTTTCAAATATTACTTCAGCTCCAAAATATCCTCCAATCAGATGATCATGGATCAGAAATAGAATCAGTTCTATTTCATGGGCTTGGACTACTTGTAAAGGCTTTTTAGGATCTCTTTTGTTTTTCTTGCAAACTAGGTCTTGTTTTAACACAAAAGTCTTTCTATTATTTATTAACTTCCTTTTTTTCTTTCTTGTTAATCTAGAGTCGACATATTGGTCTTGGAAGTATCTTTTGAGTTGGTTATATTTTTCTGAATCTATGATTTCTTCTTGCCAAGATACTGACTACTTGAGCTAGATTAAATTTTATGTTGAGTTTTATTCAAGACTGTTCAAGTGAGTATTCTTTCTATTGTTTGTTTATTTCTTTTGACTGTTACTTATTTCTCAAATTGGCGTAAGTAATTGGTTACACTATGACACTATATCAAAGCTTCATAGAGACTTATTTGATAATTGGTGTGAATGTATCCTTTTTCTTGTTATCATTCCTAGTTATTTTCTTTTTTCTAATCTTCATTTTATTTTCTTTCATCAGATAAGTTTAACATATATATATGCATATCTGGTCTATTTAATAGGTTTTTATCCTTCGCCCACTAAATAAGTTATATTTTCTTTCAATTTTTTTATTTTTATTTTTTTTTTTGTTATTTTGTTCTCTTTCTTATTTACTAGATAATTTTCTCTTCTTATAGCTTATCTGGTGAAGTTTAGAATAAGTTATATCTTAAACTTTTTACCTTATCCAGATAAGCTATCATAAATTCTTATTTAATTTTTCTAAATTAATCTTTTTTCTCTAATTAATCTCTTCTTTTTATTATAAAGTATCCCTTAACTCCTGCACTTTACTGTTGTGACCATTTTACTCTTTTTATATTATGTCCATTATTATAATCAACACATTTTTTTTTTTTTTTTTTTTTAATAATTAATTAATTTTTTTTTTTTTTTTTAGATTTTAATATATATATAGCTATTATGGGTCTTTGAACAAGTCTTTCTAGTTTCGCTCTCACTAATACATTTCTATAATCTATTTCCAAAGAGTCAGGAGATCAAGTAGATTGTTTGCAATAAGTTAGTATCTACTAAAATTAGTCTAGTAGACAGCTTCTCTTACTCTCAACTCTCCTATAGCAAAATGACTTCTAAAGATGAGTAAGTAAAAATAAAATAGGTGTTTTCATATTCAACATGCTAAGTATAGAAGGCTAACCTCTATTTCTTCCTTTTAGTTATCTTTTGGTATAAAAATACTGGTATATCAGTAGACTTATTTCCTCTTTTAGATATTCAGAATTTCTCGCCATCTATTTCTATTAAACTTTGATTAGTAGGTACTAGTTTTTTTTCTTCTAGTTCTGAACTAATATCATTCTTTATTTCATTTGGAGATTTATTTACTAACTCAAATTTTCTTTTCTCCACAGTTTCAGCTTTGTTTTTTATTTCATGAAGTGATGTTGGGTTTGTTTTCATATTTTTTTCAATAACATTTCTCTTTTCACTATTGCTACTCTTTTTACTAACAATTTCTTTTCTCTTATTAATTTTTACGTCTGGACTTCAACTAAAATTATTATTTACTTCCATTTTACTGATCCCACTTGCCTAGTTAATAATATTGTTTCTGCTAGACACTACCTTAATTTCGTAGTCTAGATCTTCATTCTACCAGACTTCACCTGCACTCAAGTTAAGTCATTTGGCACATCAGATACAGTAATTAGTATCAGAGTCATCATCTTCTTCTAATTCATCTTTAGTGTCTAAGAACTCCTGTGTCTACTCTTGTTGATATACTTCCTTATTCTGAATACAATTAAAGGTAGTATCCTTTTGTTTTATTTCAAATCTGAGTATAGCACTAATTGCATAGGCCTCTTCCTCACTTACTAATACTTCTATCTCTGTTTTCTTTAGCTCTTCATTACTCTTAAAACTTTCATAAGGAACTTTATTCATTTTCATTCAGTCTATCTCATACTCTGACTATTTAGCTAGTTCCTATAAGATATCTTGGTATCAGTCATCTGAGTTCTCATATCTTTCAGTTATTTCCTCTGTGGTATCCAATTGGGTCTTCTCAAAGTTATCAGTCTGGTTTCTACTATTCAGAGGGTCATAATCTTCAAACTTGTTATCAGTCTATTCTATTTTGTTTAACTCTTCTGGTATTGATGCTTTACCTGGCCAATAACTAGAACTAGAACCATAACCTAAGATAAGAACCTTTATCTTCTCTATCATATCTTTAGGAGTTGCCACCTTAAGCTTAATAGAGTAAGTAGTTTTGAACAATATATCGATGTTAGAATATTTTCTACTAGGCCTATGCTCTACTTTATAATCATAGACTTAGAGTCTAAGGATCTACCTAGCTTGTCATCCCTTTAATTTTGAGCTTCCCAACTATTGTAGGGCCGAATAGTTAGTAACTACTACAAATAGTTTTAATCCTAAGTAGTAGTAGTAATATTCTACAGCTCATACCACTGCTAGATATTCCAATTTGGTAATAGAATAGTTTCTTTTAGCTTTATTCAAACTCCTACTAGCATATGCAATCATGTATTCTCTTTTTTGGTTATCCTTCTGTGATAAAACCATACCTAATTCTATTCTTAAGATATCAGTATAGAGATAAAAAGTTTTATCAAAATCTGAGTACTCTAAAACTGGTGCTGTTGTTAAGCAGATTTTTAGAGTGTTGAATACCTTTTGCTGAGAAGTATTCTACTGATACATGGTATCTTTTTGCAGCAAATAGTGTAAGGTTTGGCAATAGAAGCAAACCCTTTTATAAATTGCCTATAGTAAGACAATAGGCTAATAAATCCTCTTAGCTGCCTAAGATTTCATAGAACAGGAAATTCTTGAACCTTAATTATATTATCATTATTAGATTAGACTTCCTTTTTACTAATTATATGTCCTAAGAGATTTAATGATCTCTTAAAGAGCTAACACTTTTTAGTATTAAGCTTTAGTTAGGTTCTTTTCAACCTATCAAAAACTAATTCCAAATATTCTAGATATTCCTTGTAGGTTTAGAAGTATATCATAATATCGTCCAGATATACTGCTATGAATTTATTGATATATTCTTGAAATATTCAGTCTATTAGCCTTTGAAAAGTAGCTAGCATATTGCATAGACTAAATGGCATCATGTTAAATTCGAATATCCTAAATTTTGTAACAAATGTGATTTTTTCTCTATTCGATTTGTTCATTTTAACTTGCCAGTATCTACTAGCCAAGTCTAGATTTAAAAACTAGCAAGCTCCTCTAAATGTTTTAAGTAAGTCTTCAATCCTAGAGATAGAATATCTATCTTTCTTTGTTAATATATTTAGTTTTCTATAATCTATATACACTTTAAGTTTTCTATTCTTTTTAGATACTAAAACTACTAGAGAGGTTTAGAGACTATATGATTCTCTAACTAGACCACTATTCAATATTTCTTTAACCTGTTCTTTTAGGAATTCTTGTTCTTTAAAGCCTGATCTATATGTAGTCTGCTTAATTGAGTAAGCATCTCCAGTATCTATCTGGTATTATACTAAATTTGTTCTACCTAACTCATCTAGTCCTTTGATAAACAAGTGTTCATAGTTTTTAAGCAGTCTTTCTGCTTTATTCTTTTCTCTTTCATCTAATCCTTCCTTAATCAACTTCTTTGTAGACATCATAATTATAAAGATTTCATCCCTATTATCTTCCTGTCTTTCCTGATCTTTAGTCAGAATTTTCTATACTGATACCAAAAACTCAGTAGAGCTATGGATATCGATCCATAGATTTAGGTATAATTTATTTTCTTTTACAATTGCTTCACTAGTATAATATCCTTTCACTTTCTCTAGCAACTTATTCTCATAATTAAATTCATCGAAGGTATCACCACTATTACTATCTTCCTCATTTGGTCTTCGTAGGTATTCCTTACTGGCATGCGATATTTTTATCTTTGTGGTCTGGTCCTAGTAAGTTATAAATAATTTACTCACATCAAAGTGCAGTTGTGTTTTTGATTTCTGGAACTAATCAGTTCCTAATAAGAATATTTTGTTCTTTGACTCAATTATCTGCAGTATTACTAGAGTTACGATTCTCTCAATCACTATTTTTAGATTCTCAATTTTCTTTAAAGTTCTTTCTTAGGCTCTAGTAGTAGTTTTTATGACTGTATTAGAGGGTTTTTCTATTTTTAACTTTAGTTTATCTGTGAGAGGTTTGGTTATTAGACTGATAGCAGCTTCTGTATCTAGAATATTAACAATGGAATTTCCTCTAATTCTGATATAGTATCTTGTTGCAATAGTTCTATAGCTCACTTTGAGTTAAGCATAATTGGTTTCTGCTTAGATTCTTAGTTGTTAAAGGATTTGGACTAGGTTATATCACTAATTAGAGTACTTCAACAATTAGCCTATCGTTGCATTTGACCTGATGTTTAATAGGTCATTTGCTATATTATATAACTCTAAGTTATCTACTACGGATGGTGCTCTTCTTAATTTAGGACATACTCATACAAGTTCTTCTCTATCAACTCCATTTCTTCTTAAGTCCTCTTCTATTGGTAAGGTTTCCTGTTCCTCTTCTTGTATTACTGGATCTCTTCTTCTTAGATATTCTTCTCACGTGAATTCAGAGTTTCTTATTAGATATTCTTTTTTTCTAATCACATATAGTTGGTATTATTCAGGTTTGTTTACTAACACTTCAGTATTTTCTTCTCTTTTAATGCTATAATAATTAATGTTGTATTAGCAGAAGTTAGGTTGGGTAGTTAGAGCTAGATTTAGGTTCCTTCTTTCGTACCCAAGGTAATTTTTTCATTCAAAGAGGCAATCTCTAGCAATATATTGTCTCTCGCCACAATTATAACAGATTATTTCTCCTGGTTATCTCTAGAGTTAGTTTTAGATAAGATTATTAGGTACAGTAGCTGCTATTGTAGTAGTAAGTCTCTCATATCCATTAGCTATCTGTTGTATTTTTCTGTTTAAATCCTCTAACTCTTTTCCTACTCTCATTATATCTTTTGCTTCTTTCTTATTTTTATAGTGATTCTTAGCTTCGATCTTCTTGACTCTAATAATTGCTTCCTCTAGATTATTGGGTTCAATTATAGATAAATAAGCTATAGTTTTTTCTCATAATCCACTTAAGAATATCCTCACAATATATAAGACAAGTAGATTACTATTTGGGTTTACTTTTGTAAATAGCCTTTTAAATTTGTAGATATATGCATCTACCTTTTCTTTTTCTCCTTGTGTTAAATTATTTAGATCCACTTGCTACTTGTGTTTCTTCTTAGAAGTAATAAAATATTAGATGAAGATATTAATGAAGCTAGTATCTTGAGCCTTAACATTATTCTAATATTGTAGGTCATTCTTCTTTCTATAGTACTAACTGGCAGTGATATCAGAAAGGTAACTAGAATCAATTTTTACTTTTTTATCACCTTTCTAGTTGTTGGCATCTGTGGCTCTTTCAAAAGTTTCTACTCATTCTACTGGGTCATCATCCTCTTCTCCCTTAAAGGATTTAATTTAAACCTAGTTTGTTTCTTAGTTGAAGGTTTCTCCAGCCAACTTTTTGAAGGTTTTGGCGAGTTGCCTGAAGATTTTACAAGTGTCTTCAGATTCTTTATCTTTGGGTTCCTGTTGAGATCTACAGTTTTCATATATTTGATCAATTTTTCATCAGAGGAGGAGGGGAGAGGGTAAATATATTGAATCTCACAGTTACTACTAAATATTACATATGAAAACAGTAAGTTAGTCACTCGAATTATATAATCTTTATATCATGTAACTAAACAACCTATTAAGAAAGGTATTTGGATTTGTTGAGTAAAGTTTTAAGACTTTGGATATTGTTCTGGACCTAAGTTACATAGCAGACTTTTCTTTCATTAGCAAGTTTCTTAAACTTCCCTTAATTAACTTCAGTTGACTTATTCTTTACCTTTAGGATAATCAAGTACAAGATTAAGTAGCAAGTTATTCGTTACTCAACAATACAATGATTACTCTTTCACAAAGAATAATTTGAGTAGCGCAATATTATCTTGAGAACAAGTTTGTACTTAGAAAAAGTCTTTTATATGTAAAAGATCAGATAAGTAGTTTTAGTGATTTATTATTTGGAAATTTATAGTTTAGGGACAGAACACTTGATAATTCAGTTTTAATGTTTAATATTTTAGATCAATTGCTTAATATTGAGCAGAGAAGGTGAAATACCCTTTATTTATATAAAATAAAACATAGTACAGATTATAATGATTATAATTATTATAATCATTATAACAATTATAACAATTATAATCGTTATACTCATTATATTTATTAAAATGATTATAATGATTATACTTATTATAATGAGTATAACGATTATAATTATTATAATTATTATAATTATTATAATCATTATAATAATTATAATGCTAAGATCCCTTTAAAAGTTAAGAATCAGGTCTAGTAATCTAGTATAGTAGTTAGATTGTCAGACTGCCATACAATAGATCTAGGGTTCAAATCTCACTATTGATAAATTTGAATAATTTCTCAGACTTTGTGATATGTTATAGTAAACCCTGTTCATTTCTGAGGGCATACCACTGTAAATTGAGTTATACCAAATCGATCAGAACTTGGAAGTATAGCATATCATTATGTGAATAAATCTTGATAAGATATATGAGAAAAGGACCTATATGGTAGAAATCCTGAGTTGGTGAAGTAGTATAGCCTTCCAACAAGACTACATCAGCTAATGTCAAATCTAAGAAGAAAACTCAGTCTAATAAAGGTAGAAGGTTTCGAGGTCTTTGGGCAAAGGGTAATTGGAACTGACTGGATACTGAAAAAGAACTAGGTCGACTAACTAGTAGAGGACCACAGTAGAACCTGGGTTGTATGAACATCTACAAGGGGTGAATCTATAAAATGAGTACAGACCACTCTAGTAGGTTTGCTTTGAGGTTAACTAGCTTTGTAGTACTAGTAATGCATCTGATACAATGTATCCTAAGAAGACCTAAGCTATTTGGATAAATAGATTTGTAATGAGCTAGCTGGCTTAAGCAGTTAGATGTTGTAGTAATATTAGATTGGATCTGTATGGGTTAATGAACAGAGTATTTAAATAGGTAACTCACTGGCAGGTTACAGATATAGCAGCATAGTATAGAACCAATCAGATGGCCTAACACCTGTACAGCAGACTACTTAAAATAGACAATAACTAAAGTTATACATGTGGCTTGTTGTACACTCTTCATATAATTACAAACAGTAGGGATTATTAATATATAATCCTGTTGACAATTCTAATAAAATTCCTTCAGCAATATAAGCTGCCTTAATAACAAAAAAAAAAAAAAAAAAAAGTCAAGAATTAATCTACTCAAAAATTATGCTTTGAATTGTCCAAATAATCTCAGACAAGGTCTAGTTTGGTTACATTTCCTGAGTTATACTATATAAGATACAGATAATAGAAATAGCTCATTTTTATATATAAACAATTTTGCATAAATCAGATTTTAAAAAAAAGTGATCAACAAAAATTTTGATCTAAAAATAAGATTTTATGTTTCCAGAAATTCTAGAATAGCTAACTGATCTACATACTCAATACTTGATATCTGTATATACGTATATATATACAAATGTATAATAATAATTGATAATTGATAACAAATACATGATGATAATGAATAACTAATAACTGATAATTGCTATTTCAATAAGTTTTTTTAACTTCTTTAATTTTTTATTATTATTATTATTTTTTTTAACTAATTTTTTTTTTTATCTAATAATTTTTTTTTATTAACTCTAACTTTATGATAGCTTATAAATCTAATTTAAAGTAAAAAAAAAAATAAAGACTACTAGTAACAATCTTTCAGATTGTTAGAAATGAGTTGGGTTTAAAGACTACTAGTTATAAAATTGTATACTATTAGTTGTAATAGATATGTGACAAATGGATCTATTTGAATATAATGAGATAATAGGTTGGTTATAACAGTTTTATATAAAGTAGAGCTAATAAAAATGCTTTTGTTAGTTATTATAATCTCAGAAGAAATACCAAAAGATATAACCTTTGATTCATGGGATGAAGTTGAAGCATTCTTTTTGGATTATAGTGCACAAAATAATTTCATAGTCAACAAATATAGGAAAAAAAATCTAAAACAGGAATAGTACAAAATAGAACTTTTTGCTGTGAATTTTATAGAATATATAAGCCTAAAAAAAGTTTGGCAGTAGCCCAAAATGGAACACAATATAATACAAGAACAAAGAAGCAAAACTGCCCTTGATATTGTAATCTCTTATTGTGTCAAACTAGATTTCAAATCTGAATTACAATCCTAGTTAATAGATATAACCACATTCTTGTACTAGAAACTCTAAAATTTGGACTTAAGTATAGATCTTTAAACAAAAAAGCTTTGAAAGAAATTGAAATAATGTCCAAACATAGAAGCTTATTAATTACATCACAAAAAAGCTTCTTAAAGTTCGTTTTTCAGATTTGAATATTCAAGATAATGATCTTGCTAATGCTATTAGTAAAATTAAAAGAACAAATAACCTTAATAGGAAAATGACGCATCAACTCTACTTACTTCACCAATAGAAAAAAAAATAAACGATCTGTAATAGGTTATAATTTTGAGTTAGATGAAAAAAATCGTTTAATTAGACTCTTCTAGATATCACTAGAACAAATTAACCTTTGGTTGAAGTATTACAACGTGATGATTAATGATAACACAGCACAAACAAATCAATACCAGATGCCCTTATTCTTTTTATCATCATTGATAACAATAATAAAACAAGACTTGTAGGCCAAGCTCTAGTTAGTAATAAAACATTAGATACATATACATAGATTTTAAAATATGTTAATAAAGCTACACACAAGCTACCTATTGTAATATTTACTGATGCAGACCCTGCCTTAAATGCTGCCATTTCAGCTACTTTTCTAACTATATATGCAGCACACTGCATATATCATATTGAACAAAATCTTCCTAAAAATTTAAAGTCAAAGCTAGGAAATAAATAGGAGGAATTTATAAAAAAGTTTTATGAATGTAGAAATAGCTTATGTATAGCTTTATTTGAAAAATGATAGAAAAACTTACTTAAAGATTATCTAGTAGCCAATGATTATTTACTCCGAGCTCTTTATTCAAACTGTTAATCTTGAGTATGTGCCTATTTATATAAAGTTTTCATTACCAGAATTCAGAGCACTTCTCGTATAGAAGGATATAATTAGATTATTAAGAAGGAATTAGTAACGAACAGCACATTATGTGAACTTGCTAATCATTTGGATCATAGTTGAAAGATGAAACTCAATGGAAACAATTTTACCAATACAAACTATTAACTACATCACTAACAACACCTGCAGCTAGACAAGTTCTCTTTTCTGAAGTAGTTAAGGTACTGAGTAAATATCTAACCGAGATGATTAGCAATATGATTTTAATAGAAATAAGCCAGTATCTTTTTTTATATGTGAAAAGGTTTGAACCTATAAATAAAGATTTAATTCAGGAGCAAGTAAGATATTAGTAATCTCATACGTGTGTATTAAACGATAAGTTAATAACAATAATAATATAAAATAGGAAACAGTTAAAGAAATCTAGAATGGATTTATAGAAGACCAATATGACGTATAAAATATAATACTCCAAGCTATATTTGATGAAATCAGAAGTGAGGATATAAAGGAAATTTGGAAAGTTATAGAAATGCGCAATGAAAAAAAATATTACGTTCACTTTGTAGCAGTTGTTAATACAATTTCCTATTTATGTTCATGTTTAATGAGTATTAACAAAAACATTATTTGTCATCATTATTTTTGTATAATAATGCATTCAAGTATAGCAGCTTTTCATATAACAATAATACCTATTCAATAGTATAAAGATTTACATCAAGAAAATGTAATACCAGAAGGAGATAATCTAATATCATTCGATTATGAGAAAAGTATTTCTAACTTAGACCTGAGTAATAGCACAATTTTTCTAACATGAAAACCAGTTATAATACTAGTCACTGCTTCAGTCACAAACAATACTATTGACAAAAGAAATCATTATGGACATATTTGAGGACTTGCATGAGAAGCTACTTTGCTTGCTATAGAAAGTGATGATAGCGAAATAATCCAATTCCTAACGAGCTATATCAATAAAAAGAAAAAAAAAGTGAACGATTGGTAAATCAACAAACTATCACAACTAATCAAGAACAAGATAATATGACTAATCAAAAACAGAATGGCATAACCAATCAATCTTCATCCGAGAGTATAATTGAACGAAATATTAATCAAGATACTGAAATGCTATCAGAAAATAAAGAATTAGTCTCTCCTGTTTCTGAATTTGCGTTAAACTTCACTGACATTTGAAATCCATCTAAGGTTGTTGGTAAAAGAAGGCCACAAAAGCACAGATATATTAGTAGTATTAAAAAAGAAAAAAAGCATAGAGGGAATTCAACCCAAGGAATATATAAATGTCATATATGTAGTAAAGCTAGTCATAATTCAGCATTTCATAAGAATAAGGCAGAAGATAGTTGAATTGGATATGATTAGCTTGAATATTTCTTGACACACTTTCTATAAGTATAGTAGGCATATAGAAAAAATGCATTGTATGATCTTATTAAAGTTAGCTGTAATAAAATTAATGCACTTGATATACGTACATACATTAGATTTTTTCACATATTTTGTATAGCCAATCAATGAGAAATCTACAAATCACGTGATTAGTTAGTATGACTAATTAAATAACTCATTATAATACATGATATATAGTAGCATCATACCCAAAAGTGATATATAATATTATCGCAGGGGGTACAATACCTAGTTAACTCCTTTTTTTTATTCTAATTTAAAAATTATTAATTTTTTTTATTTTTAAATTAAATATTTTGTAAAATATAAGTTGTTATATTTAATATTTTTTATAAATAATAAAATAATAATAGATTTTAAAATTTGATTTATAAATATTTAAAATAGTTTTTTTGTATTTGAAATTTTAGCAAATATTATTATATTAATATAAATTTTTATTTTTATTAAATTAAAAATTAATATTTTTTTTTTTTTTTTACTTTATACAAATACTATCAGCTAACTTTATTAATTTCATAAATTTTAGAAGTGATATATATTGTGAGAGTACAACTAGCCATATGTATAAATTTAGATTGTCTATTTTAAGTAGTCTGCCTAAAAGTTCTACACTAGCTACTATACCTGAAATCTCTTAGAAGATTCTCTATTTAAACTCTTTGGTTCTATCTCACTTGCTGCAAATATTACTCTTATAGTTAACTCTAACTTTGTGCTACTTCATATTGGAAGGCACCTAAGCTAATATTAGTTATAAACTTTACTATTATAAGTTTAGATCTTATCTGAATAAGTCCTACTTCAATACTCTCTAACAGATAGATGTTATAATATCCAACTATGCTATACTATATTCCTATTCTAGCTTGCATATACTCTTATTCGATATTCATACAAATCTAGTTCCAGCTGTAGCCTTTTACTAGTTTAGACTTTTGTGTTCTTCTGAATATTTTATGAAGCAGATTCTTCTAATCTAGTTAGCTACTAAGCCAAGTTGGTATTGCCATAACATCTAATTTTATAAACTTACTTACACCTACTTGATCTATATCTTTAACTCAGAAATCTTTGCTAATCAAGTGTTAACTAGCATGACTATTGAAATCCATACTACTTCACCTAACTTAGAATTTCTACTATACAGATCCTCTGCTCATAGATTCTATCTCAATTTATTTATGTAATGCAACTCCAACATTCTGTTACATTTCTAATATCTGAACAATATTAATGCAATGTGATTTATAGTATTATAATTTCAGAAACGAACAGAGTTTACTGTAAGTTAGTACAAGATTTGAGTAATTATTCAAAGTATCAACAGAAGGATTTAAACTTCAAACCTATTGCATGACAGTTTGACAACCTATTCACTACACTAGATCACCAGACCTTTGTTAAAAATTAATATATTATATATAATATTTTTTTTTTTTAATGTTAAGATGAGGTTTTGTCTTTATCTTTATTAAAATTTGTTTGAAATTTTACAAGGAGTTTTCCAAAGTTACAAATTTATATACTAGAATTAACTAGGATTGTAATTCAGATTTGAAATCTAGTTTGACACAATAAGAGATTACAATATCAAGGGCAGTTTTGCT